CCCTCTTCCACAAAGCGACCGTAACCCAAAAGGCGATGACAATTCCTATGCTTTGACACAGACTTACGACAGTCGTAGCGCTACTATCCCTTTGTGGAATGAGGCCCTGAACTCAAATTGGAGATGATCCCTTTGGAAATCACACAAAACCGTCCCATCAACTGCCATACCCGTCCCATCTAAGAGAGCATGTTTGGCAGTGTGATCGGAATTCAAGTACCCCAAAACGAATTGCATGCTTCAGAATTATGAATATTTGATATTCAACATTATACCAATGTCTGTGGGTTTCACGCCTGACGTGTGACTAGTTGGGTATTCCTCCCAGATATTGTGGATGTGCCATGATGGCTGGACTATTTATTTAACCACAATCCCTCAAAAGTGCCTCTCTGTTGCACTTTAGTAATTTTGTTTAATTCTGATGTCTACTTTCATTAAAATTGAAAATATGTTGGAAAATCAGATCTTATATTAATGCTCACTTCAAAAAGATTCGATGTCATCCCATTCCAGGTCAGGTCAGAACAACCTTTTTGCAAATTGTGTGTGACCAAGGAAATGACAAACAGGACGTAGGCATTAGCCAATCAGAAGGCAACAAAGGCAACGCTTTGAAAATATTTTGACAAAATTCTGAATCTGGAAACTGAACAAAGGAACATTCTAGATGTTTATTAGGTTGTCCATGTTGTACGGCAATACTTACACAAACTGTTTACACTTTCTTCTGTTTAATCATCCAAAAAAAGAAAGAAACATACTAAGACGGAATCAGTCGTACAGTCCGTGACTGGCGTTCAGAATGCTTGGCGTTAACTATTTCGTTGCGAAGGGATGTCCTCGTATTATTTTGTTGCGGTAGCAAACACAAACATCAGGTTGTAATGAGTCTGTATGGAATCCTACGCTTTTGTTTTATTATGAATAGTAATTGATTGTCAGTAAGTATAATTTTTTTATCGTTTCAGGATGAGACGAATTGTGGAGAGTGGAACGATCGGCCATGCCATGAACAGTCTTAAGGAAAGACCTCTGAGTTGTGAACGGATAAGGAAACGAAGCGTGTCAATGGAATATATGCTCGGAAAGCTGTCAGTTCTCATTGTGGGGTCGGCGAGTTCCTTTCTGGTACTTCTCATAGAAGTATTAGTGAAAAGGAAAGCATTAAGAAAGAGTGCTTGAACAATCGTTCATATTTGAGTACAACAAACTTGCATGTATTTTGATTTTGTGCAGACAATGAATTTCACATGAAACATAAATGATAGCATAAAAAGATCCTTAGCGTGTCTGAAATTGATTTTAATACAAAACGACATGATATCTGCAATACTTTTATATGAGTGAAGTGGCACATTATACAAGATAAAGTTCATATCGTTATGAATTAAATAGAATATTATGAGAACACTAGAGGAACAAAATGCAAAAGACTTGTGCCTATGTTTTTAAAACGTCCATACGCTCAAACAATTACTCCGCGCCGTTGAAAATTGAATGAGTAATTTTCAATTAATGGTAGCATCAGTAACCTGATAGCCACATATCGCTTGTAGTATGAACTTCACAATGCTGGTATTGGGCATATTCACGTCTAGCTAACCGTGAACTATAGTAATCCTTATAAACATCGAGATATTTAACATCCCCATCATATAACACCACAGAGAAACCAACATCACAGATGACCTTCAGCAATCTCTTGCCACCAAATCTAGTTGACGAAGCCCAAAATATTTCGCATCATATTACCAAAGAATGCATGTACCATTAGGACTGTTCATGTAATGGAAGTCATTAACATGAAATAATTACAAATTGCCATCAAATCACATCTTTGTCTCAGGATTAGCTTCTAGGGTTAATTCCTATCATCAAATCACCCCTGTCGGTTTCTTGTGTAAATCTCTGTGTATTGTTACGTGTACAATGTTGGAGCGATATGTTTATCAACAAATCTGTACTGATAAGAATACAATGTGTATTGTGAAACAGAAAAGCAAACATAGAAGAAAGACATTGTATATAATTAACAATCGTATTTGAAATAAGTTTACAGATCCAAACAAATTACTGCAAGGTAATCCATGGTGTGGTCATATCAACTTAAGTAGAAGAGACGTCTTAACATCCTTCAAGAATGTACAACACAATGCCAGTCTAAACTATGCTGTTCTGGAATGTTCCACTTGACCACAGACATATTAAAATATGGTACAACCAGTGTTAGAACAGAAAAGAAGAAAGTTACTGTGTATTTTTCAAGAAATGGGATTTACGTACCTTCTCAGGAGGACAATAATTTCACGCTACCTAACACCCTTTGAAAACACAGCCACTAGCAATCCCAGTCATTTACTCTTTCCACCGAATTAAAATCAGTAATTACAATACATATAAATACATATCCATCAAATACATTATTTTAAAACAAGCGAGAATTTAACGAGGACGTACATAAAAATATCCCTTAAGGGTAAAATAGTTAAGGAAATATCGATACAGTCAAGCATGACATGCTTCTGTCATCTTACTGTTCTGGGCAGTTTGACATGTATGGGCAACTGCGATCAGATTCTCGGATCAGTAGCAATTTCGTTTCCTAAAAGTCTGGATAGAGTCCTTTCTTACACGGCTTGGTTTGATATGGCTTTTCTTCAACAACACATGTTCAAATACTGCCTTGGCCTGCAAATTTATCGGATCTCTCCACTACGGAACATGTGTAGGATAAAATGGAGCAACGTGTATGACACGTACTAAATCAGCTAGATGACAATTGTGATTTGGCAACAGAGCTGCAGTGAATACGGCAAGGTGTTTCTTTCCTTCCCTGCCCATTTGATAGACTCTATGTTGATGTTCTCGCTGGACACTGTTAGTATACCCGTTGTTGAGTCTGTGACTTTATTGCATGACCCGTGCCCCATATTTGGACTCACAACGTCAATGTCATGGCCATTAAACATGCTGTTATTTTAATTTCAATATCTACCTGTTAACTTTTACAAGGAAACTGTTTTTTGTTATATTTTCAAATTTAGAAGGAATACATGTATCATATATTATATCGCTACATTATCATAATTAGAGATTAAACAAGTGTATATGCCTTGTTGATTTTTCTTGACGTAGGTCTATAACATGGAGTCACGTATCCTCCAAGAAGATTCGTCCCCGTATCGATGAATAGTATGTACGAAAATACAACAAACGCACCAGAATGCACTTAAGGATTGGTGTATTTTGATAAATAATATAATCCGTTATGGCAATGAATTGTTTACGAAAATCATGAAAGATACATATCGTCATGACAAAGCCTAATTTGAAGTTTTGGGCCATGAGGATAGGGCCATTAACAGGTAGAGATCCAAATACTAAAAAACCCGTGCGTTTGTTATAATCTCGGCTCTCGTGTTTGCCAGTGTTTTCCATGGCGCTTGCTGTGAAGATTTTACGTGCGCTTCCCTATATGATGCGTATTTTGCACACGGTCAATTCAATTTTGTACCTATTTTCATAAGTATGAAGAGGTGATAAATATTTTGAAGCAATGTATTTATAAATATTTTCGATTTTCAAAACAATATCATCATATAAAACTAGTCAACTTCAGTCTTAAACATTGTTCTTACATTTTACTTGAACAGTGATATTTTAGTTTGACGTTTCGGGTTATTCGTATTTTTGTCAGCGGATTCATTTTAAAATTCCACCCTGGGTATGACAGCAAGGTTACATGCAATTGTGGACAACATTTAGACACCGCGTAAACCATGATAGGACTCTCCACAAACTCGTCAGTTTGAGGTAATATTTGAAAGTCTGTCTAACTGTTTGGGGAGCTTGTTTTTCGGAAAACAATATGATTGTAACTGCTTATTCAAAAAAACATTCCCATGTTGCGATTCTTAAACAGTATTATAGAAATAAAAGGTGAGCAGCATGTTATTACAGTTTCCAACGGACAAACAGTTTCAAGTCCGCCTTGCTCCACCCTCTCTGATGATTCACATCATATAGTACATCAATCGGCAACTTGAACAGATATCAACTTTATTTTCATAATGCAGTGATTGATTGAAATGTGTAAAGTAAACATATCATGACACAGTAATATTTACAATTTGACATATATAGTTTCATAATATTCAACACAATGTTTCAAAACACTTAGCAGATCGTGTATTTAAGATGGTTAACTTCAAAGTGAGTGAGAGGGAGAATGGTTTTACGCTGCTTTTAGCATTATTCCAGCAATATCATAGCGAGGGACACCAGAAACGGGCTTCACACATTGTACCAATGTGGGGAATCGAACCCGGGCCGTGACGAGCGAACGCTTTAACCACTAGGCTACCCCTGGTTGACTTCAAAGAGTTCAATTGGTACACATAAACCAGCATCACTTTCTATATACATGCGATAACATTCAAATAAAGAAACCACGGAGGTATTTGGGAAATGAAATAATGACGTACCTAATAGCAGGCGTTAGTTACGTCATGGTCGCTTCCATTCCCTTCTTGCCAAATGTGCTTATCTTGCATCAGTGAAGCAACGCGTCTAACGTTATCATGTCGGAAATAGTCTGCTTTGCCGTCGCGCTGACACACAACCCGGCAGTTTTCTGTCGTAATGACACGTAATCCAATTGTTAAATCACGCCTAACATCGTATCATGTTGGCAGTGAAAATGTGTTTGTGCACAGCCATTTCAACTGTTCATTATAGAAAAAGATGTGCTAAAAAACATGCTGAATCAAAGCTTTGTTTTTTAATGTATATTATAAATAGACGTAAAAGCGGATCCATGAATACCCGGATTAGAATTGGTGTTCAGTACGCACGCTGGTAAGAGGTGACTAACGTTAACGGGTGGTCATGCTAGCTGACTGTCTTGACACACGTCATCGTATCCCAATTGCGTAGATCGATGCTCATGATGTTGATCACTGGACTGTCTGATTCAGACTCGATTATTGACATAACGCCGCCATATGGCTGTAATATTGTTGAATGCGGCGTAAAACTAAACTCACTTTCTCCATGTTGGATACAGACAAAAGCCGGATAACCACTGATGCATTACCAAATACTCTCTAGCTATGTCAGACAGGTCAGCGTTTACACATAAAAAACTTTACACAACAAATAAATAAACTTAAAAGAGAGGAGCCCGGCGAAGATGCCGTGCACACAGTTCAACAAGTATGGCTAACAACGATAGCCCTAGTCCTCCACCTGCCACCAACAAGACACCTTCTATCTCCCTCAGTGTAATGGGCTTGCCTCTTCTGTCCACTCCACATTGCCCGTTATTGCTACCAGTAGTCCACTTCTTCCACAAAGCATTCAGCATTCCGCTCTCTTTCAGCGAGTAAATACTGAAATCAGATTGACAGTCTTACCTGGCAATATTTTTCTGATATTACAAACACGAAACAGCGTTCTCCCTATACCACGTTAGTACATTAGAAGGATGTTTGTCCATGAAGCAAACAATAATATGAAAGTTAATGTTAACCTTTAAAAAAGATTATATATTTAAATTGTGAAAGGGGGTCATAGAATGTCTTTAGATGAGAAATGCGTTAGAGTCGCTGTATGTATCAGAAAAAAATATTGTGTGTGAAATTGATACACACAAGGTTTAAGTTATAAAAAGACAAAAAATTATAACTATAATTATATATATTATTATATGCTAGTATATATAGCCTAGTGGTTAAAGCGTTAGCTAGTCACGCCGACCGGTGTTCGATTCGTCACATGGGTACACTGTTTTAAGCCCATTTCTCGTGCCCCAAGCCATGATAATGATGGAATATTGCTAAAAGCGGCGTAAATCCTTACTCACACATGATCAACATAGACTTCCCAACAACGAAATGTGTAAACTAAAACAAATTGTAACTTACATGCCATCAAAGTCGGACTTCAGAGAGGATCCCTTCACTACTCCAAAGGTAATCTCCTCATACTCCGAACTTACAGGTTCTCCAATAAGCCCAAGGAGGCAGTCATTAGCCATGTATACCTCGGCGCTGGACTTGTATATGAGAAAAGAATGTTCCCCCTTCATGACACGTGCCATATGGGAGTCCTCGTCACTGCTGAAAATGCCAGCATCCTGCTTACTTAATCTCAGCATCTTGTCGTAAAGCCGCCGTAAGACTGGTTTCTCTGAAGACTGTACAAAGAGTGGAAACAAACATATTGAGCAAGGATGACTTTGATGTATTATAGGAAAAGCGTTTTACCAGCTTTGCACAACTGTCCAGCTTTCAAGTCATGTCGAAACTGAGTTGACGAGTTGTTCTTTTGGCTTACTGAGAAAAAGATTTCTGGCGACATCATCGTTGTGAAAAACTATATTCCCTCGTCATTTGTTGTGCAACGTGGATTGGTATCTGATAAGCGCGTTTTGTTATAGGGAATAGAAGTATAGAGCCCAGGAACGTTTCATGTTTCATGTGAGTCGTACGGAAGATTTTGCTTTTGGTGGAAATGAAGATCTTTCCAAAAATGACATTTCTGTAATGAAAAACGATATCCGATGCTGCTCACTAATTGATTTGTAACATAATGCCCTAACAGGTGACTTTTTAACAGCTTTTGCGTTTATTTGTGACGGATGCCAAAGAAACGTGAAAGATGATACGCTCATCATTTTGCAAATACGCGGTGTCGCGGGGTATCACTATATATGTGATCATGGACTGGCAGGAATCCTACAATGAACACTGCATTAGCAGAACGGAAACATAAATTCCCAGATGGAAAAAGAACTACTCATGTAAGAAGTAAAATTAATTAATTTATAATTTTAATTAATAATAATTAGTCCATTTATATGGCGCTAAAATCCACACCGACAGCATGCTCATAGCGCAGACAGTGCATTATTACCCCTGATAACCCAAGCTGCCTGTGAGGCGCTAGACGGTTATAGTCACATGAATTATCCCACCGGTACCCATTTGCTCTGCTGGGTGAACAAACTAACTTGCCTAAGGTGAGACCACGTGTATCACTTGTGCTTCGTTGTGGGGCAGGACTGAAGTCATGAGTCAAGCTGCTAAACACGGTCACCCATCCAAGACCTCTCCGCGCACAACGTTGCTGTACTTCAACTGATTTGTGACATGAGCTCCTGAGCTTCATGCACAGGACGCCACACCACCGCACTATTATGCATATATAACTATAAAAGGTTTTCTTCATTATAAGCAAATGTTTAGAATTACCCGAAGGACATCGTATGGTGTACCGGAAACAAACATGCCGGTGCTGTAGTTGCTGTCGACAAGGTCGTTGATGCTGGATATCCGTACAGTCTCTGTACCTGCTGTTAGGGCAGCCATGAGGTTGGCGCTATATATGGTCGTTATAACAATTGTTAACAACCAGGATGAGGCGAGGAGAATCCGGGAGGCATTTCGTCTTGGTTGTGTTTGGAATCCTGTGGATATTTACATTACGTGTAAAGACATGAAGTAGTTCACAGTTTATAAAAAGGCTGAAAATACCAGGCTCGGTTATATTAGCAGCAAAAACAAACATTACATAGTTCATGCTAAAGGTATTTTTATTTGTCTTCTTCCCTATTTGTGCAAACGACGCACATTGTCAGGGGCAACAAGATGTCATACTATTGTATCACACGATGGCACAGGCAACAGCATGTCATACTATTTCATCACACGATGATTCAGGCAACAGGATGTCATGTCAGAGCATCACACAGCGCCACAGGCAGCAACATGCATGCAACAGAATCACTCGGTCTCATAGGCAAAGAGATGTCATACTATTGCATCACACGGTGTCACAATCAACAAGATGTCATGTCAATGTAACACGGTGGCACAATCAACAAGATGTCATGACAATGTAACACACGGTGGCATAGGCAACTATGTGTCATGTCAATGTAACACACGGTGTCACAATCAACATGATGTCATGTCAATGTAACACACGTCGGCACAATCAGCAAGATGTCATGTTAATGTAACACACGGTGGCACAATCAACAAGATGTCACGCAATGTAACACGGTGGCACAGGCAACTATATGTCATGTCATTGTAACACACGGTGGCACGGGCAACTATATGTCATGTCATTGTAACACACGGTGGCACGGGCAACTATATGTCATACTATTGCGTCACATGATGTCACAGGCAACACGATGCCATACTATTGCGTCACACGATGTCACAGGCAACTAGATGTCATACTATTGCGTCACACGATGTCACAGGTAACAAGATGTCATACCATTGCGTCACACGATGTCACAGGCAACACGATGTCATACAAAATTGCGTCACACGATGTCACAGGCAACAAGAAGTCATACTATTGCGTCACACGATGTCACAGGCAACAAGATGTCATACTATTGCGCCACACGATGTCACAGGCAACAAGATGTCATAGGTCACAGGCAACAAGATGTCATACTATTGCGTCACACGATGTCACAGGCAACGAGATGTCATACTATTGCATCACACGGCGTCACAGGCAACATCATGCATGCAAATGAATCGATACTGAAGTACAATTTAGTTGATAAATAATAACATACCTTGTCTGAAAACAGAACCAACAAATTCCCAGGCGATCTCTGCAACCTGCCGACAAACAGCTTGCGTCGATCCACACATTGGTTCATTTTCGATAAAACAGTGGTGTTCTACCAAGAAGAATAACATTAACAGCCCCACTATTACACCAACGTATATAAGATAAACGCCTGGATGTATGGGTTTGGCAACGAAGAACAAATGTCCGGTAGAATCGGTTCTCTTCCTATATATAATGTCCAGCCTGTCGGACTTAAACGACGGGTAGATGTAGTCAACGACCTGGGATCTTCCATGATGCACAGATATGTCGGCCGAGGCAATATCCACCTCCTGAAGGAAATGGGTGAAACTGATATAAATTCAGGCATGTTTTTGTTTGTTTGTGACTTGTTTAACGCCACACTTAGCAATATTCCAACTATATCTCGGCCTGTAAATGGTCAAGTCTGGACCAGATAATCCATTGATCAACATCATGAGCATCGATTAACGGAATTGGGAAACGATGACACGTATCAACCAAGTCAGTTGGCCTGACCACCCAACCCCGTTAGTCCCCTGGTAAGACAAGCGTGGGTTGCTGAAGATCAAATGTAACCCGGATCTTCACGGGTCATTCTTAGGCATCACTACATGTGATGAGTGAGTGAGTTAAAGTGTACGCCGCTTTTAGCAATATTACAGCAATATCACGGCGGGGGACACCAGAAATGGGCTTCACACATTGTACCCATGTGGGGAATCGAACCCGGGTCTTCGGCGTGACGAGCGCACGCTTTAACCACTATGCTACCCCATAGCCCCACATGTATTTGTAAAACCAATTCTCGGTAATCTTGTAATCTCTCTTGACGTTTGTTCAAATCGGAGATTATTTGCTCAAACAGTCATCAGTATATTAATTACTGCTCATTTTTCAAATATATATTTACCCTTCTGCTCAACTGGCCCACCATACCGTTCCATTGACCATTTTCCAGTACGCCCCACTTTTTATCTGCTGGCTGTGTAACATCATAACTGTTCGGTATAAAACAAGTGATGTCAGCTTCCTTATAGCATCAAGTATTTGTTTCACAGATAACACGCAGAATCCTCGACAAACAGATCAAACTGCACTTTGTCTCTTAAATCTGCAGAAGGATGCAGTGTGAGCGGATCATGTTTCCTTTTAGTGGGGGCTGGAATAAATGGCTCTAAAATAAATACACTTAAACTATTGCGGTTGTTTACATTAGATCGATCAAGAGATAATTTCGACGCTACGTAGATGCAGAGGCGCATTTTATTTTACCTAAATGTCAGAGGATTATGTGTTGGGATGTAAAAAGGAATGTGCAAAATTTCACAGCTGACGGAAATACAGTTTTGTTTAGTTTGTTAACTGTACAAATATCTAAAGAGTTAATGGTTTTACGCCTATAATTAAATGAAAGTAACCAATGTCTGAATATTAGTTTTATTGAAGGAAAACGTAAATATTTTTCTTTTCACTGGAATTGACCCATGTTACTGAAAGCGTTTATACCCACGTGTCAAGTACGTTTGATGCATATTACTTTGAGCTTCTCGTTTGGGTGCCATAAACAAGCCAATGTGTCCCTCTCAGAACCCCGTGGTTACCATTTGGTCTGTGACGATCCTTAATACATGCGTTAATAGACCGTGTTTTGTGTCTAAGTGAGACAGCCTTGTTAAACAGAAACAAAACCGATGTAAACTAAACAAAATGAATCAGACATTCTGATACGCCGGTACATGTCGGCGGTCTGTAAATAATCGAGTCTGAACCAGACAATCCAGTGATCAACATCATGAACATCGATCATACGCAATTGGGATACTATGGCACGTGTGAACCAAGTCAGCGAGCCTGACCACCCAATACCGATAGTCGCCTCCTTCGACAAGCATGGGTTGCTGAAGACCAATTCTAACCCGGATCTTAACGGGTAATGATGATATGTCAAAAGGTGGTACGTGTTGTTACAAGCGCTCTTCAGCAACACTTGCTTGTCGTAAGAGGCGACTAAAGGGATCACGCATGTCATGTTCATGATGTCAATTACTGGACATTCTTGGCCAGATTCGATTAGTAACAGACCGTTGTCCTTTATCTGGAAGCGTGCCGGTAAAACGTCTTCAACAACATACAAGCAAATCACACATAAGTGACACATGCCCTACATACACAGACGCACACACACACACACACACACACACACACACACACACACACACACACACACACACACACACACACACACACACACACACACACACACACACACACACACACACACACCTGAAGTTAAGCTTCGCTGAGAGTATATCCAAGATATCAAACACGTAGCCAGTATACTCCGCTGTGCCGTTGGTGATTCGCTTATAGACATACACGGGAGCCTATAATAGAAACAGAAGATGTGGTTATTGTATATTGGACACATTGGACATGATCAAACAAATAGGTCAGAAACTATAAACAATTCACATAACAGGATTTGGATGATCATGGCAGTAACACTGACAGGTGGATTGCAAATAGCAATACAAACACCGTGTTTTCTATAACAAACAACTTCCTACATGTTTTGCTTGATTGTTTGTAATTAACGCCACTCTCAGCAATATCCAGCTATGTGGCGGAGTACTGTAGATAATCGAGTCTGGACCAGAAACTCCAGTGATCAATGAGCATCGATCTACGCAATTGGGATAAAATGACATGTGTCAGCCATGTCAGCGAGCCTGACCATCCGATCCCATTAGTCACCTCTATTGAAGACCAATTCTAACCACTGATCTTCTCCTTACATGTACGTAACTGTGTTGAGAAATATAGAACTGGAATACTGCTGACTATAGTGTTTAACAGCAAACAAGATATGAACACTCATGATACTGTATAATCTCGTTCGGAATGATCTCGATAATTGAACACATAAACGACAGAACTTCGACTCTGGGAATATGCAATACTATTCTTTTTGGACATGGTTTAATGTAACAAATATTGTATTTGGGAAACACGGTACCTTCTCTATATTCGTCATATTTTGGATTACACTTTCATAGACTATATTTTCTGTGTTGGCGATTAGGTGCCTCAATCATAGTGTACTGTACTGGACCCCCGAAACGTACAAGAATTTACATGGGTCTCTAAAGTACACACATGTCTACGGTATTACAGCTACACATATATCACAGCGGACTGTTAGTATTCGAGTCTTGAACAGACAAACCAGTGTCACGGAGCATGAGCAACGAGTTTCATGAAACGTTGTTACACAAGTTACAGAACTTGACTACCAAATATCTATTTTGGACTCCCTGAGGACAAAACGAGACGATCTATATTGATTAAGTCCCATCATCAACACCACCCTGATGTCTTTGCATATTCATAATCTTTGCATGTTCATAGTCTTTGCATATTCATAGTCTTTGCATATTCATAGTCTTCGCATAGTCATGGTCTTCGCATATTCATAGCCTTAGCATATTAATAGTCTTTGCATATTCATGTAAAATACACACGAACCGCAAGCGTGGTGACCAGCAGTCTCCGGTTGTTGTAGCCATACTGGGTGTTAGGGTAGAATCTTGCCAAGGGAGTTGCTCTTGTGGCCCGTCTGTCAGACACAGGGACGAACTCCCTCCCGCCTCGTGCATTGTGCAGGGTGTACATGTGTGTCTCCTTGCAGGTGTTAGGCTTAGGGAAGATTACGTGAGGTTAGGTTTATAGCCATCATCAGTTATGGAAGCACTATCACTGAGGTCTAATCATAACTGAAGTTAACATACGATAATTATGATCGAGGAAGGTGATCCATTCATAGGTCTGAACTTTGTTTTGTAGTTACTTTTAAAAGGTCAGTTACGCCCACGAATGTACAGCTGATCTAAATTTAGCCTGGAACCATTGATTGATATTATAATTATCTTTAGATTGTAAGAAACGTCCCTTGACGTTGGAGTACAAATAAAACGCCACTCAATCAAGGTGCTGGCATAGGTTTCAAGGAAGCTGAGTCACTTTGCATCAAAAGGTTAGCATAAATTCTAGAACAGCACTTAAACCCAGCACATACAGTAAGCTGATGGTCCTCTTTCTTCACAAACAGGGCTTGGAGGGTACAGGAAACGTAATACACCAGGTTCTAACATTAATGCTCCTTCAGTTTCAGAGATGTTAAGCACGATGAAGTTGTTGACAATTCTTCTCTAATACGATCTCTTAAATACAAATAGCAAACGAGAAATATTTTTTCGATAGTCAGAATTGTTTCCAATCAGAAACAATCACACCGGTTCCGTGGTGCCAAATGACAGTATCATTGACTGAAACGCAATGTCTTTTCGCATATCGAGATGTGAAATGGTTGCAATACGTACGGAGTTGGGACAGGATACATCATCTTGGATAATCACTGCAACGTTCTCAAGGTGGCGGATCATTAACGCATCATGTAGCAACGACTGACTCTTTGTCAGAATGATGAGATATGAGTGATGTTGAAAATTTGTTGTGCGGTTTGAATGGGAGTCAAAGTTGTCTATCTGAAATTGACACGAACAAATCATTACAGATTCATTACAGATGTGGTTAACGTTCATATTAGCACCGATGTTGCGACAGGACATTTTAGTACTGTCGTCTTTGTTTTGCATTTATGATTTGATTTCCCAGCAGATGCTTACATATGCATAAATATGCGTAGATACATAATACATGTAATGTATATTGCATGATATTGTATGTGAAATAAGGCTATTGCAGGTTTGACTGTATCTGAAAACATACAAAGCATAAAACATTTTTACATTACATGCATATTCTCTGAAGTTTACGCTTGAAAATTAAGTCTCACGAGTCTAAAAATAAGAATTTTGACTGGTTTTTATTTGTAAAAGCAATAAATTTGCATGCCTAATAGTGTCGTTTGGATACATTTAAAATTGCTTTTTTACCCTTTCTGCTCAGAGTGTAGATATACTCGTAAAAACTTGACATAAGACTAATTTGAGTTTTTCGGAAAATATTGGACACAAACCAATCTATGCTGAATCCCAGCAAGTGGGGAAATGGTTACCGACGACAAAACGTTTGAAAAAAGAAACGTTTATCAAAAAGGGAACGTTACACTCACGTCTGTAGTGAATCGCTAAAGCCCACCCTACATGAAATGTACGGGCATCATGAAATTGTGTATCACCCTGAGCTGAGGCCTATGACTGTAGGCTTTAAAAAGCCACATCAATGATACCCCACATGCATTGCTATAATCCACTATAGACATGAGTATGAAAAGACTGACAGAAGCTCAACGACACAACGCCATCGGCCGTTTACAAGGACGGACATCGCAGCATGATGTGGCAAGGTACTTAAGCGTGTCCAGACAGACCATCTCAAACCTATGGACCTGATACAAAAATACTGGGAGTGTTAATGACAGACCCAAGTCAGGTCCACCTAGAGTTACCACCGCCGCCCAGGATCGCAACACCACGGCCGCATCATCCACAACAATCCAAATCCCAAATCTCCGACCAGACAGTGCGTAATGGGCTATGAAAAGCCATACTTTTTGCCAGATGACCGGTTCAACGTCACGTCGTTCCCTATATCAACGTGATCTTTGGAGCATGACAATGCTCGACCTCACGTTGCACGTGTTTGACAGGTCTTCCTCCAGCAAAATAATGTTCAGTTGTTACCTTGGCCTTCTCGATCACCAGATTTGTCTCCCATTGAACATGTATGGGATACTCTTGATCGACGCTTGCGCCAGCGTAATCCGCCACCTCAGACACTACAAGAACTGCACATAGGACTTCAGCAAGAGTATCAAAACATTCCTCAAGACAGCATTCGACATTTCCTTTCTATCTATGGGTCACCGCTGCCAAGCTGTTATCTATGTTCGTGGTGGTCACACCAGATACTGACATTTTACTCTGACCAAGTGGCTTTAATAGCCCTCTGTGGTTTTACCAAACACTCTCTGGATAATCATGTTTTTGAAATTTGTAAAGTTATGATTGTACTGTAACTGAGCAATGATGTCATGTTTTAATGAGTTATATGCACTCAGTAACTCCAAAACAGCATGTCAAGTTTCTTTTTTTGAAGAGTATAGTTTGTTTCACCATTAAACAGATGGCATTTAGTTGGTTATTAATCCTCCCCTCAAAACCAAAAATATTTTCTGGTGTTAAATCAATGTATCTTTCAGCTTTTCTAGCCACTTAGCCTCACTTTACTTGAATGAACACAGTTCAAATAATAAATGTAAAACACTCTCAGGCATCTGTTTACGAAAGGAACACACAGGTAAATCAATGTATCCAATATTATGAATAATTATTAGTTGTAAAAATATTCTGAGTAATTTGTACTGAAACCATTTTAAATTAGCAATTTGAGTACATCGATCAGCCATAACATTGATATTTTCCCATTCATTCTGTTGGAATTCTCTGTCCAATATTTCTTCCCATTTAATTGGCCATTTGTTTATTAAAACAAAATTGGCATAGTGATTTATAAAAGAATATTAACTATTAGCTATTTTGGAAATATTAAAGGGTACTGTCGTCTTTTAACTCATTTCGGAAAGCTGTAGAATAATACTGCAATTATGAGTTTATACTCAAGACTGCTTTACGCATTCACATCATGTGAACATGTGATCCATAACTTTTGAGATATTGTGTGAAGCAGGTATTGTGCATTCCAATATGATCGCCTGTTGGGACGAAACCTTTATCTATTGCCCTTGCATTCAGGTTGTGCTTATGTAATGCTCATGTGTATATACATTCATGATATTTCCTTTGAAGACATTATGAAGCTCACTTTAGTCAAGATGACTCCTAAACTACCATGGCATCAACATTGTACGTCGGGGGCGGTGGGGTAGCCTAATGGTTAAAGCGTTGGCTCGTCACGCCGAAGACCCGGGTTCGAATCCCCACATGGGCACAATGTGTGAAGCCCATTTCTGGTGTCCCCCGCCGTGATGTTGCTGGAATATTGCTAAAAGCGGCGTAAAACCAAACTCAGTCAGTCAGTCAGTTGTACGTCGGTACAAGGAATTAGCAATGGTTGACAACAGTTCACTGATCTGTTTATTGAATAGCCTTGATCGTTATGCAATTCGTATGATTTCATGATACTTTTGAAAATAGAATACGCTTCATACTCACCTTCATCAAGAGCTGTTGGGTTAGTGTTTTGTTCAGTGCCATGATCACATTTACGGCAGGAAACATTATCGTGTAGATGTCCTTCAGGGAATTACTGTTTACATCATGTATGTTGTAGACCAGTTGCTTTGTAGTGTTCAGTAAAAGAGATTCTGAAACTCAGAACACAAAATGGATGATATAAGATCCCGTTTCTGTCCGGAGTTGGTTTAACATATTTATTCATGAAGATATGGATGGACTGGCCAACAAGCTCCGAAGAGCTTATTTGAAGGCCGCTCCCAGAAACAAACACATGTACAAGTAAATACAGGAACAGACGACACATTGTTACAAGTCTTATTTATCAACACTCAAGATAAGGAGTTCATCAATAAACGAATGTGAAGTTCAACAAGCAAACATTAGAGATGTCTGTTAATAATGTTGACCTAGTGTGTTTCCTTATGCTAAATATATCATTTTAGGTTCCTTCGAACATAATACATGCAAATATGTATTGTTTTCCATATCCGATAATTCCGACACACAAAGGTTATAATTTCTGTATCACATTTTGGTCTTAAAATGTTTTTCATTTATTGAAGTAACATTTGAAACAGCACACACACATAGTAATTCCGTTAGTAAAACTTCTCGTTAATGTATGGAGGGATACACATAAGGCAGTGTTCCTCTTTTTATTTTCAGATTTCCTCCCACAGCGCTATTCAAAGCTGGTGATGAAAACAGATAAATATTTAAGGAACACTTGAATATTACCGTGTTCCTTTATTTGTTTCCCTCAGTATATATTTAGCCTAACGACTTGCACTTATCGTGAATCATATCAACGTATTTGGAACCTAAGACAAAAATTTACTGGGCAAGTGCTTTTTCTTCATACGGCTCGTCATACCAAGCTTTTCGGATTGTTTCCTTCTGAATGACATCACCACATAGTAAAATATAACCTATTTGACAAGCCAACGGGTGAGTGTAAGTTTGGTGTGAGCATTGTTTCAGTATTATCACGGCGTGTCATCTTGTTGTGTGTAGTGTTGTCTTAGATAGAATAATAAATCATAAATTTGACATTCTACCTTCGTTGTGTTCTTGAATTACCGCTACGGACGTCCATTTCAATTCATCTATCAAGTTGTTTACATAACTGGAAAGGCAGCTGCGGTTTAGACGCCCTTCTACAACATAAATCAATATGAGCCTGGCAAAATATATAGCTGTATAAATCGATAATCATTATTTATCTGATTACTTTGATGACAGTGAGGCAGAAGGAAGCTTAGGGTTGTTACCGCTCCGTTTTACATATATCAAACTTAAACATCAGCCTTTGTTGAACATTTAATAACTTACTATGAAATGCACATTATGTGTCTTAAACGTGTCCGACCGCCTCCGTGGTGTAGTGGTTAGAGCGTCCGCCCAGAGAGCGGAAGGTCGCGGGCTCGATCCCCGACCGCGTCATACAAAAAGACGTTAAAATATGGTACTTGTTGGTCCTTGTCTGGCGCTCGGCATTAATGGGTACAACAAGGACTGGTCGGCTCGGAGTCAGTATAATGTGTCTGAGTGGGGTATTCATGCTTCACTGCGGCATGGTATCTCAGTGGGCTAGCACTATAAAACCAGCTTAAGTCTGGGCTAGTACAAGCAGCCGCACATACACATACACACGCATGCACGTCGTCATATGAGCGAAATATTCTCAAGCACGACGTTAAACCCAATTTCACCTCACCTCACCTTTAACGTGTCCATAGATTTACCCGCAATAAAGTGAATTGCGAACCGAACACGTTTACATGTTAAACACATAGTTTGAATCGTAAATGTGATTTGAAACCTCTGGTTTACCCATCAGGATGTACCGGATGTTGTAGAACGATTTATTTGTAATTAATCAATATTTACAATGAATACTGAAGACCCAATTTCTCTGAACACTTATGCAAATATGAAGGAAAGAATTTTCAACAGCTATCGTACAATTGTCCATACAAACTCCCAACAAATGTGTCAATAACCATGTAATACTTCAATCTGTTTTAGTAATCCATTAAACTGTATTCTTAATATTTGTTTATCACTTCGCCATATTTTCCTAGCTAACAAATGAGACTGAATGCAAATTACAAAATTGTCCCTTAAGAACAGCCACATCACCCAAGATCGACCTTCAGCAGAAAGATCGGCTATCAAAAATGAGTGTCATAGATTGAACGGTTTCGGAACCAAATGTAACGCCCCATCACATTCAGAAACATCGTACCTGGATCCCGCAATTTCAGGGTTGTGAGTGAAAGGTAGAGAATCGCTCACAGACATAAGTAGTGTTGGTGTATCACTTAATCTCTCTTCTGTTGCTTTAATTCAGTATTCTTAACAAGAGTTTGGAATCAACGTAACCGTCTCTTAAGATCCATTAAGATGCTGAAAAATTGTAAAACTCAGCATAGCCATCTGGTCACTGTGTCTCGGTCTGTGATTTGAAGAATTAGGCCACGTTTCTGGAGAGACCATGATTATGATCGGCCCCTCAGTAGTTCAGCAGACCCGTAATGATCCGGGTTAGAATTGGTCTTCAGCAACCCATGCTTGTCGTAAGAGGCGACTAACCGCATCGGGTGGTAAGGCTGGCTGACTTGGTGGATACATTTCATCGTATCCCAGTTGCGTAGTTCGGTGCTCATGCTGTTGATCACTGAATTTCTGGTCCAGACTCGATTATTTACGCACCGCGTTAAACATCAAACGATCAAACAAACAATTGGATGTATCAGACTGTCCGATCATAATGATGGGCTTTTATTTTCCATGCAGGTTAAATCTACAAAGGTTATATCAATGTTATGACAAGTTGTGTCAATTTTCAATATCACGTGTGTAAACTTCAGGTTGGTAAAAACATGCACAAAGTGAGTAGGTTCATGGTGCACAAAGTGCACGTGCCCGCGCGATACGTGACATCACATTTAATGCAAGGTGCTTTGCTACATGTTATTTAGGGTTATTATTATAACTTTTAAAATAACTTGTATGTTATGCAATTTGATGTAATGCACACTAATGTCAGTTACTTTTTTCCGTTAGTATACAAAAATGTACAGTATACCCTGGTTATAATGCCACCATTTGAAAAGGAGAAAACGTGGCATTATATCCAGGATGGCATTATAACCAGGTAGGGCAGTTAGCGGCACTATGTAATCAATAAGGTGATTGAGCTGATGTCTCCTGTAATGAACCATGAATGACTGGATAATCTCAGCGTCTAAGCGCTGCAGGTGCCTTTTTGTTGTAGGTGGCAGGAAGTGTATTGTTACATGTGTTATCCTATCTGGGATTACATTACTTAAAAAGCATTAATGAGTTTAGTGAATTAATTTGAGTCATATCAATTAACCAATCATGGCATGTATACTTCATTCAGCCAGTGTAAATGGCATTTTAACCAGGGGGAAATTACTTTTTGTTCCAAAAACCATTGGCATATGGCATTATATCCAGTTTGGCATTATAACCAGGGTATTACATAGGCAGGAAATCCGTTCTGGCAAAAACATAACATTATATCCAGGGTGGCATCGTAACCAGGGGCATTATAACAAGGGTCATTATTCTCAGTTAAAGTTTAAAAGTTTAAAGTAGAAATATCCCTGCTTAGCGTAAATTCACTACAAAAAAGTTCCCTGATGTTTAAGAATCGCAAGTGTAATATTGGCATGAATGGTATGGTATGCAACTTAACGTTATGCACAGTTACTTTTTACGTTAGTATATTTCGTTCAACTGGCACTTTAAACCCATCAATAGGAATACAAACACCGTACTCTCAGTTTCAGATGATAAAATACAATAATCTACATCTTGTGTTCAGTCAGTCAACTATAACTTTGAATTTGAAAGAAAGTGAAGACATCCAATTACAAACAACAACTTGGCTCTAATCTGAACACGTGTGTCTACAATGAATATGGAAATAGCCTACTCTGGCCACATCACAAATGTCATATTACGCCTCTGATGATCACAAAGTACTGCTCAACATGTTTGGTTGGTTTGTTGTTTAACACCGCACTAAGAAGTCTGGATCAGACAATCCAGTGATCAAAATCGATTTACAGGATCGATCGGGATACGGTGACATGTGTTCACCAAGTCAGCGAGCCTGACCACCCGATCCCGTTAGACGCCTGGGACGTCGTAATAAGTTTAATTGTTTTATCGGCATTTCATAAGTTGACGAGTCAATAATGACCCATAAGACTTAAAGGACAACAGGAGGAAAATATAGTATAGCAATAAACAAGAATTTGTTACCCAGACATGTTAAGTTTCAAACAAAAAATGTCCAAGATTGCAACTGCCATCACGGAAACAATGATATTTTGTCATCGTAAAAGAGATATTTATACTGTGTGTGTTCGGTTCTTAATTCAGTTTGGCGTTGTTGTGCCAAAAGGTAATCTTGCTCGATTAGAGATAATCATGTTTATCGTGTAAGTCGACAGATCAATAAATACAATACAGATACATAAAATAAATCAGTTCATTAGTAGAATAGGAAGGATGTTGGACTTACCTTGAGAAGATGTTACACAATGAAATACATTGTTGAAGATGAAACCCAAAAGAAACACTTGTCTCCAAAGACCTTGGTAGCTCGACATTCGGTAAAAGGTGTGTCTGATTCGAATTAAGGCAAACGAGAGATTCATCAGTTCGAGTTCAACTGCGAAGGCGTCAAATCGGCTCAAGGGATTACGCATAGAAATACAGGTTTATTCCACGTCGTGACTCGAATGCCAAATTATAGTAAATGAAAAAAGAGATGTTTATCATATGCAGGGCGTGTGCTTACACAGAACTTCAAGTTCAGGAGAATACCGTCATAATGCATTTGACTTATCTGACATCAGGAATAAAATCTATTGCGTGTTTAGATTGATTATTCCAAAATATTTGCATTTCTGTTCTTCGATGTTTAATGAAGGGACCATCTGAAAACCTATAAGTAATGATATTAACCGTTTGAGCTTGTCTCTCTGGCGTTCATCGTTGATGGTACAGCATTTAGCCTAGACTCTAAACTTCGGACTACAAGTTCAGTTAATGGTGTTGTAAATGCAGAAGAACAACATTTGACAAGGTTTCCACGACTACATAATAGGATAAAAAGAGGAAACCAGAATGGGAGATCTATTTAATTTTCATAACCTATAGATTTCATTACGTGTACAGCAGCGTGACATTTTAGATCTTCACCTTCACATGTCTAGCAATTGTGAACAGACGACGGACAACTGACAATCTGGCCATAACTTGAGATTACTAACGTTTCAATTCTTGAACACCGATGGACAATAGTGGTAACCTTGCGGTTAGAGGGTACGCTTGGTAAGCCGAAGACACATGATCGATCCTAACATGGGAACAATGTGTGAATCCCATCCTAGGTTTGATGCTGTTGGATCAGTCCCTCAAACAGGTTCAAAGTTTAACTCACCCAGTTTAGCCGACATGAAAGACAGAGCATGTATAATCCGATCTATCATATGTGGCAAAGGTGCTTTTTTCTGTTAAGGACTTCTGTTATCACGCACGACTATTTAGAAACCACCTAATCTATGATAACAATGTTATTATTTTGTGATAACAATCGTTTATAACATGCAAAAAATGTATGTTGAAATCAAAAATGAATACTTTGAAAGTACAGCTGAACCTAAAACATTACCGATATGAGAATCTCTGCAAAAACTTGCCACACGCTGCTGGAACGATCCCTAACAAAACGTTGCATGGAGTCTGCTTAACTGGTAACGTCATCTTTTGTGGCGGTTGCTCTCGGCGTCTTAAGCAGACGTCAAATTGTAAACAAGTTCAGGAAGTCTGCTGAACGTTTTATCGATGTTAAATCAATAAATATTGAACTACAGTTGTCAGGTATATGTTCTTTTCAAATCTACTTTTAACAAGTACCTGAGACTGTGTATTTAATTATGTGGTGGATGTATTTAAAATCTGGAACTGCTACAGTGGAATATCGACGAGAACAAAACGTCCATCACAGATTAACAAAGGGGATTGTAGTCCATAGTACAAGATGGTTTGAAAGCAGTAGGAGAGACACTAGTACTGCTCCTGAGGGAAACGAATGGAGGGATGGGAAGGTAATGGGGTGGTTTTCCAAGAATATCATTCAAATTCAGACTTCCTGGAGACTTATTTACGTGAGTGAGTGAGTTAAAGTTTATAGTCACAGCGGCAGTAGTTCAGTCATATCGTGACTAAAGATAGTTATAAATTCATGCTATATACACACATTTTAAGACCTGTCGACGAAGGGCAGTAAAACCAACTAATACATCATAGTTTTAAGAATTAAAACTAGCAAAATCTCTGAAATAGTTTGGACAATACATTATAAAAACGGGCTGAGTATCACCAACAACTATAGGGAGATCACCATACTAGGGACCATGGGGGACTTGCAGTGGTGGCGCGTGGTCCTGAGCTCAAAGCTCAGGTCACAAATCGGTTAAGTTAAGCAGCGTCGAAGCTCGGAGAGTCCTTGGATGGGTGACCGTGTTTGGCAGCTTGACTCCTGAGAGTTTCTAGGACTTGAGTCCTGCCCACAACGAAGCACATGTGACACATGTGGTCTCACCTTAGGCAAGTGAGTTTGTTCAAAATTGTCTCTGTTCACCCAGCAGGAAAATGGGTACCCGGTGGAAAAAAGTCATATGACTATAACCTTCTAGCGCCTAACAGGCAGCTTGGGTTATCCAGGGTAATAATGTGCTGTGCCTTGATTGTTAGCGCTATGAGCATACCTAGTGTGGCGTTTGGCGCTATATAAATGGACACATTATTATTATTATTACTCTTGATCAGTCGGATTTACATCATTCTTTCAACCGTTGGTGATTGTAGTTAAAGTTAGCCAAAATTCAAAATCACAAAAAACACTACGTTTTAAAATAGTCAGTAAGCTTATTAATTTACCTGTTTCGGGACTTCTGTACGAGAGTTAGTTGGAGCAGAATATATATGAATGTGCCTGATATGACCTTGGTATTGGCAGGGTATTGAAGCACTTAGCAAAGTACGTGTAGATGGAAACAGAAATACACCTAATACTTCAAATACATCTCTGGAGAAGATCTCTCGTCTCTTTGAGCCCGAAATTTTGTAAAAGGACTCTATTGATTTTTAGATTACAACGCCTCTGTTTAAAAAACTGAATGTTACTATGACATTCGGTGCTACATGTATGGCATGTACATGACAAGCCGAATCGCTTGCATAAGAACCAAGAATATTTGACCAGTTTATAAGGTAAATAATAACTTCTTTGATTGAGTGGTATGTTTAGAAGTTGGAGAATGAGATAAGGACAAGACTTTATGGATGAACAACGTCTTTATTCGGATGATGCGACGTTTCGATACAGATTATTGTATCGTTGTCAAGCAAGTATGACAAGCAATACTCATACTTGCTTGACAACGATACAAGAATCTGTATCGAACGTCGCATCATCCGAATAAAGAAGTAGTTCATCCATAAAGATTGTCCTTATCTCAAGGTAAAAAATGTCTCTTTGTGTGTGTTTATGAAGACTGTACACAGCTCGAAAATATATCTAATATTTTCTAATATTAGTGAGAGGTTAATTGCTATCATGGGATTAATAATTCTGAACAGGTAATTTTTATATTTGCTTACAATGAAAATGTGATTGACCATGTTCCCAATTGCTACTAGCGAAGCATTTTGTCAGCGCATCTTACTGATTTTCAAAGCAGAACAAATCCAGGGTGCCCAATGAGAATTCCAGATGCAACAGAATTCGAAAATTTTAATAAATTGAAGTTATATTTCGGAATACGTATTGTGGTATCGTTAAGAACTTTGTGATATGTAGGTAGCCATTATGTAATGGGTAAATTTAAGTTAACGACGCCAATGCGTCATAGATATTTCGATATGACATGACGATTTCATAGTTGAGTCCTTTTGGTTTTAGTGTTATGTCGTCGATATTACTTAGGAAAATGATACACAAATGGCACTAACCGGTTTCCGTGAAATCCATGATCGTCCTGACTTCTTTCATACAACGGCTTCAAAATGCCACTAAAGGATACAGATCCGACAATAAGGACGTGCACATAGTGCTTACACTGTCATGATGTCTTCAGTATGAAACCATTTCACCTCCCAATTTGACACCCTTTCTCAAATATGCACCATCATTTTGCGAAACGGTGACACTGAACGATCAGGCTGATATGCTTATGAAGATCCATAGCTGTCAAATTGTGAGGGTGTTAGTTTGCAGACGATACATCAAGTAAACATTACTATCATCGAACACGAAAATGTACACATTGGTTCTCAGGCGTGAAAAAATACAATTTGTACAGGTGCGTCTGATCACTTAGAACGTGATGTTAAGATGATGATAATAAGACTACAGACGAACCAGTTGCCTCCGTTTCATCACGTTGAGGTTATATATATCGATTTGTTAAATACTTCAAAGGAAAACACTTAAAAAGTCGATAATTGAATTTTGCCGTGGATATCCTAATGCACATTTTGAGTGAATCTACGTTTTTTACGTCTTACATATCCTGTATCATGTTCCGGAAGTACATGAAAGGGCGTACCCAACCATCTACCTATGTTTCTCCTATGACATATACTTGGAACTTTTTTGCTGCAAGTGATATTATACGCCTCGACTAGTGTTATGATGATTCCCATCACTTTCATCTGTTAATTCCCACAGAACTGTTGTCGTAGATATAAGACAAGTGTCGTGTCAATCGAAACCGAATCAAACAAAGCTATTGTATGGAATTTGGCAGGGGATATCATCATGACAGAGCGGCGATACACTAGATCATTAGTGTATTGTAATCGATCCATGTGTCAGCTTATCTAAACCCATAACACACTTTTAGCAGCAGGACCAAAAAACAACAACAATTATCGTGTAGTTTTACTACGAAATTACATTTGTCTACCAAAATTAATCATTTCTGCTATCATAACCATCGGTGGTTATATTTCATAGGAATTCTGCCTATACGTTGTTTTGGTGTCTCTGTACAGTCGTATGGACCCGTGAAGGTGCGGGTTAGAATATTGATCTTCAGTAACCCATGCTTGTCGTAAGAGGCGACTAACGGGATCGGGTGGTCAGGCTCGCTGACTTGGCTGACACATGTCATCGGTTCCCAATTGCGCAGATCGATGCTCATGCTGTTGATCACTGGATTGTCTGATCCAGACTCGATTATTTACAGACCGCCGCCATATAGCTGGAATATTGCTGAGTGCGGCGTAAAACTAAACTCACCCACTCACTCACTCTTTACAGTCGTACAAGTGTTAGTAAGGATATATTAACCCGATGCTACTATAAACAAACATATAACGGTAATTCGCTCCAATACTCCAAACCATAAACCTGGACATAAACAACGACGTCTACTTTGTTTGGAACAGTGAGGGAGCAAAACCATCTTTCGAGGGCATGATCTATATCTTGTTCAAATGCAGGGACCCGACCGCGTCATATCAAAAAACGTTAAACCCAATTTCACCTCACATCACCTCAAATGCAGGGAGGTAACGTCACGTTGCAGTAGGAGAATGCCTTGCCGTATGTTGCAGATCTTTTTGAACTACCGTAACATTCTGTACTGTCATGTTCTCAGAGACCTCTCTTCATAGAACACGTATGGGATAGGATGGAAGAACGCTTACGACAGGATCAGAAACAACCGGTAATGAAAGCTCAGGTGGACATCCTTTGATTGGCATTTGGAACAAACTGACCCAGTTTTGAATTATAGGTTGTTTTCAATGCCCCACCGCTGTTATCTATGACTAAGTCGTATTATTCTGGAACATGCAGAATCTGCTGTTTGCATTCGTGCCCATATTGACGTATCAACAACGGATTTACTTTCCCTCAGAATGATAATTCTATTTCTGCTTCATTTCAACAGTACTAAGAGCACTAACCATAACAGCAATACTCGCACATATTTATTAAACCGCTTAAAGGTATATTTGCTGAAAATGAATTCCACGTCATTATTCTCAGTTTAAGTTTATTAGTTTCAAGAAAGATATCCCTGTTCACCGTAAATTCACTACCTGAAAGTTCCCTGATGTTTAAGAATCACAAATGTAAATATTTGGCATAAATAGCAAATTAAATGACATGGTTATCTTTAATAAGTCACTGTAGAGGTAAGCATTTCCAATACAAGAACCAGATTGGTTATCTGAAAGAAATACATAAATGTTCAACACACCAATTCTGTCAAGTATTGCTATATTTTAATCAATTCAATGGTATATTAATAGCGTTCAGACAGATGGCATGTGTTTCGTTTCTATTTCTGTATACACACATACACAGACCGAGAGACACAGTAATAAGTAGGAATGTTTATTGAGGGAAAACATTATTTATTCTTTCGACAATCATTTTTAACACTCATATATGCAGAGATCTATGTTTATATTCCTCTTGAAGAATCGTCAAAAAAAATAAATCGTTAATGGTAATGTTAATAAAGCATGTGAAACTATCTATTTTATATACTATATAACTAGGTTCGATTTATTACATTTTATAAGATAGGCCACGGAAGAACATTAACGTTGTTTGCTGGAAGGAAGTTCTGTGTAATTCTTGCCACATGGGGTCTTGCATTGTCATGCTGAAGCAGGATGCCCTGTTGGCGATTGCGCAGAAATGGCAGTACTGTGGGGCGAAGAATGTCATCGATATACCGTCTGACCGTCAGGTTGCCATTGACGATGACCAGTGGCGTCTTTTGTTCTCCACAAATGCCTCCCCACACCATCACACTTCCCATTCCATAGGGAACGACCTCCTGAACGCAACAGGCGGCCTGTCGTTCTCCAGTACGACGATAAACCCGTGCCCTGCCATCGTTTCGGTATAAGAGAAATCTGCTCTCGTCGCTAAAGAGCACTCGCTGCCATTGACGTCGCTGCCATCGTCGTACTCGCCGTACCCACTCCAGTCGTCTCTGTCGATGTGCCTGGGTCAGCCGCTGTCCCCGGAACGGTCTGTAAGCCCTGATGCCAAAAGCTCTAAGCCGCCTGGTCACTGTGTATATAAAAATATACCTTGGTGATACTACTCATTAGTTATTATGTGACAATTTTAGGTTGATAAATCACAGCATCTGTTGGTTTTCATTAAAGGGGAAGTGTACATGATGAAACACCTAATAGACCAATTCTGACCCTGATCCTCACGGGTCTTTATCGTGTGAAACAAAACAGAACTTCTTGTGTGAAACAAAATGGAATTTTTTAATCAGTTAATATTAATGTTTGAACATATATGATAGTAGAATGCTCAATATCATTGCTCAAATTGTATGCCACCATGTGGCCTTCGAGGGGGACACCAGAAGTGGGCTTCACACAATGTACCCATTTGGGGAATCGAAACCCAGGTCTTCAGCGTGACGAGCGGGCGCTTCACCCACTAGGTCAACCCACCGTCCCTACGACATCCACATGAAGCACAGCTTCGTATTGCCATTAACCTGTACTATCTCATCTAGAAGTCAATAAGTACAAAGGCCAAGGATGGAATCTGGATTCTTCTGAAGAGGTTCCCTGTGTTCATAAGTTCATTAGCTACTTCAGGGACCAACAGGCTGGTGCTCTTTGCAGGGATCTCGCCAAGAACAATGTCATGTACGTTCACATGTTGTGCACCCAATGTCGACACAGTTCCAGCATCAACATCACGCATGACAACCCAATCCCTCCACATACAACCAGAAATCCACCTAACACATCCTGAAGTGTTATTGTCTTCACGCTTCTGTCGACGCCGCAGGAGCTGTCACTGTCATTGGCGATCCGATTCTTCCACCAAACGTCCATAATACCACTCTCCTTTAGCTGACGCATTCTGAAAAGTATGTACAGTGTACGGTGTTACATGTGTACAAGATAAAAGGTATATTACTTTTAATAAAGAAAGCTATCAAGCTTATGTCAGGAATTATTACGTTCTTTGTTTGTTGTTTAACGCCGCACTCAGCAATATTCCAGCTATATGGCGGCGATCTGTAAATAATTGAGTATGTATCAGAAAATCCAGTGATCAACAGCATGGGCATAAATCTACGGATTTGGAAGCCGTATCATCGAGTCTGACCACCCGATCCCGCTAGTCGCCTCTTGCGACAAACATGGTTGCTGGAGACCAATTCTATGCCGGAGATCTTCACGGGTCGAATTTCGACTTTATTTTACAATTATGAAAAGAAAACATACTGATTGCTGTGGAATGATCTTCCTGGGGACACAATAATGTTTTTACGTACACGTTTTCGATGTCTGATTTGAGAGGATAACCTTTCGGCGTTGCAAAAGCTAGCATTTCATTCTCATAGGACGCGGGTTCCCCAACTAGTGCCAGATGACAGTCTTTAGCCATGAAATGCTCCGCAGATGAGCTATATGTGATGAAAGCATGTGATCCTTCTTTGACCCTTTCCATTTGCCTATCTTTATCATTTAGAAATATTTCTGTGTCGTGCTCGCTTAATGTCTTCATTTTGTCGTAAAGTCGACGAATATCTGGCCTCTGCGATGTCTGTTAAAATATAAGAATCATGTAATTACTAATAGTAATTTGTAATAATAATTAGTTTCGAATAACGTCAGCATACAAGGGCAATATACATGAGAAAGTGGGTGGCGGAAAGGGTGGACAAGGATGAAATTTACACCTTTGACAGATTGCATGAATACTTTCCATGCTAAGGGCTGCGTTTGAACCATATATTTCAGAAGGATTCAGTGTGACTAGATGTTCCCTGTTGATGAAGGTAGACTTCAATGTAGTCACCCAGTATCAACGAAACGGGTTCAAACTGAAACTCCTATAGTCATGCATGTGGACATGGTGTCAACTTAGGAGTGACGAATGAGTATGGTTTCACGCCGCTTTAAGCAATATTCCAGCAAATTCACGACGGGGGACACCAGAATGGGTCACACATTGTACTCATGTAGGAAATCGAACCCGGGTCTTCGGCGGTCAACGTAGGAAGCCTCCTAGATGATTCAAGATCTCAAACATGATAAACGACTCACCACAAATGACAGAAAGCAGAAAGTATTTCTGAAGAGCATTGAGCATGAAAACAAATTATGAATAGATGAACCAGCTTGTACGTTATCAGCCATTGTGCTGCCCTAGCATATTGATAAAGTCCTTATGTTTCCCAGCAACTGATCATTATCAATCTTTCGTCGTCACATCTCTGATCTGTTATCTCTGGTTTTGAGATCCAAGGGTTATTCATATATCCAGAAATTTGTGTATCTCGTAACTGGGGATTATATGGATGGAAGGCTCGTTGAGTATTTGTAATCGTACCCTAGTGGTGTTCATTTCGAGTCCATAATCGATTCGTTACAGGCAGTCATCAAACATCACTGAGTGCGGAGACAAAGTTCAAGCATGTTACATAATGATGTCAAAGTGAAAAAAGTATTGTTTAAGCAGAAACAGACCACTTTGTAAATACAATCGTCAAACACATTTCCATGGCCATTAGACATATCTGCAAAATGCAAATCCGATTGTACGATTTCAACAATACGGTGCTTTCGAAAATGATGCCAAAATGATGTCAGATGCAATTCCCTATTTTGAAATGTACCATAGGTTCTGTGTGTTTTTGTCGGGTGCACACTTGACCTGCCTTTGCATATGTTTTGACAGGTTCCACAACAGACACTCAATGTACCGTATACTTATTGAACCCTTTGCAAACCATCGGAAAATCTTTATTTGAAAAATATCTCATGCAGTTACCTTCAAAATCTGAAAGCCTATACCGACGTCGGACATGCCTACAGTGTAGTCGCTGTCGACGAGGTCATTGATGCTCGATACCTTTAACATTCCTGTTCCCGCCGTTAAAGCGGCCATCAAATTAGCACTATATACTGACGAAACCACAATAACTAGAAGCCAGGAAGAAGACAGAAGAACCTTTCCGGCATATGTACGGGGCTCCGTTTGAAACCCTGTTACAACAGAAAAAAGAATTGTAAAGGATGTTACCGTATCACTCATAGCTCGGCCGTGCATTGACAGTTTCCTATTAGAATTTCATTTCACACTGACGTCTTACGACAGAATGCCTTTCAAGAGTCTTTTTTTATTTTCATATTTTCATGCTTACAATTTTACAGTTCGGTTTGTCATTGTCAACAGTATACTTTCAAGAGCGTTGACTGTGGGGACTTTATAAAAGCAAGGGATTCGCATTACCAAGCAGTGAACCAAAAAGATCTGTTTACTCGTTTATACGTAATACAAGGAATCGTATCTCAATAGTTAGTCAGCAAAACTGATGTCATAGATTCCGCAATAAAAAAAATACGTGTAGTAGAGTGCCCAAAGCACCAACTGAGATGACTTATGACTGAGTTAGAGTAATCATTTTGGCACTTTGATGTAATATGTAATGATACATGTAACTACGTATATATCAGAACATTCAGAAGAAAGATTCCTTATAACTAGCATATAAGTATGTAGTCATGCTTCAGATGGGTTTGCAATTCAGGATGTAATGTACAGAAACATCACTGTTGGGATCATTCATTCAATTCAAATTTCAACGTAGTTTTGGTTTCAGAGTATGTGCCGAAAATGTGAAAGTATATATAGTAACGAAAACGGTCCACGTGTTTGACGGCTGAGTAAAAGCCATAAATGGCCATTTCGGATGTTTCATTAGAAGTTGGTGAAGAATTTGGGATGTTATCACTGATAATGAAATTGTGACTGGCCAAAATTCCTTTGGTTTCTTAGAGGTTGTTTACTGGAGACAAATGCTCATCTTCTTTGTTCTTATAGCCCCGGGTAATTTATTCCTCCTGAATGAAATTATACTACCCAGATTTTGTATTTTTGCATACATGCGAGTAGGATATTCAGTTCATTGACTACATGGTGGAGTCTAGGGCTGTGTTCCTGGTCAATCAGGCCACGTCATGACCTCTCCTGACTCTCAGTCAAGCATGATCAAAAAGACTCAAGAGCTTTATCTAAATACTCTACCCTGTTACAAATGCAGTGAAGGAACAAATGCACATGCCGTTTTCGACAGTAGGTATTGCTAGTATTGGTATCGTGGTAAATGGTTCTGTTTACACTGAGTTATCATTCTGGACTCCCTATGGAGTGTACAACCCAAGCTACCTGTGATGCGCTGGAAGATTAAACTGCCACAAGACTTCATCATCTTAGAGGGGGGCACCTTACTGACAAAGGAATTTGTGGAGACGTCATACGTACTACACATGCTTCAGGACAGAAACTCTAGAGCATACCCCTCATCATCTTAGCCTGAACCCATTTACTGCTATAGGAAGAGAGGCACCTAACTGACAAAGGAACATGCAGAGACGTCACATGTACTACACGTGCATCAGGACAGAAACTCTAGAGCACATCCCTCATCATCTTAGCCTGAACCCATTTACTGCTATAGGAAGAGAGGCACCTAACTGACAAAGGAACATGCAGAGACGTCACATGTACTACACGTGCATCAGGACAGAAACTGACAAAGGAGCACATCCCTACGCATCATCTTAGCCACATCATCTAACTGACAAAGGAACATGCGGAGACGTCACATGTACTACACGTGCATCAGGACAGAAACTCTAGAGCACATCCATCATCATCTTAGCGGGTACCCAGGAAGATAGCCATCTTACGAACAAAGGAACTTGCGGAAACGCCACATGTGCTACAAGTGCTTCATAATAAATACATATCCCTCTATTCTCTGCGATCGACGCGGCTTTACTAGCACAGTATGCACTGGAAAAAAGATACTTGAATGTATTGTAAATGCGCTCAATCGATAACAACACATTAATTCGAAACTTAAAAACATTATTAAAAACAATCATTATATATTTTGACATTGCGTGCATTTCCAATTCACTTTACCTTAATGTCTCATGAAACGTCCACAAATTGATAACAAATATTGCACGTCAAAGTAGACAAATATTTGGCATGGACAAGTTAACCGAAAAATCGATTGTATTGCACAATCTATATCTGTGATGTGCTAGTTGTTTGCGTTGTTCTTTATCGACATGTTTTATAATCTACCTTCATGTATCATGGAAGTATTAACTCGGCTTAATACTGCTATTGTGACTACGAAACTCACTCACAAAAGTGGAAGGCTATAATGTCTATCATGGCAACCATGTCAACAGAGTATCTTGCGAAATATATACAGTGGAATCTGTCAAATCCGGACTCTGTGTAATCCGGGTTTCTCCATAATCCGGACTACTCTCTGAGTCACAGCAAAGTTGTTCTTAAGTTATCATTAAAGCTTGCTTATAATCCGGACTCTCTCGGACTAAAATAACAGTAACTAGCTATGGGAACAATGCTTTGTAGGGTATTTACCTACCTTGTCTGAATACGGAGCCGACGAACTGCCAGCAAATACTTGGTAACTGCCGAATGAAAACTGCTGATGTTCCATCACATTTTGCGGTGAAGATACTGCTGTGATTTTCAACTAAAATAAATACAATAAATAACCCTCCAATAGCTGCTGCGAATGTGATGTAGACTTCAACTTGTAGAGGCTTGGCTACTAAGTAGAAAGACCTTGTTGTGTCAGTCTTCATCTTGTATATTATGTCCGATCCGTCGACTTTAATCGCCGGGAGGATATATTCTATTTCCTGTGATCTTCCGTAGTGAATAGTTAGATCGGAAGCTACCATGTCTACCTCCTGAAAGATCAAGAAGTACGTTTTCAGCTCAGTTGAATGGAATAGATGCGTGTGTTAGTGTCATAATGACATATTGACAAAATACAATCTCGTTTTCTGGTTTGTTTGTTGTTTAACGTTGCACTCAGCAATACTCCAGCTATAGGACTGATGTCTGTAAATCATCAAGTCTGGACCAGACAATACAGTGATTAATTGCACGAGCATCGATCTACGCAACTGGGATACGATGGCACATGTCAGCCAAGTCATAATCTCGTTATCCCTGATTCAATTGGTCATAACCGTATTCGTATTGACATTGGAAATGTCAAAGCCATTTTAATGGAAGCAGCACCATTTGTCATAACTGAAATTAATCCAGTTTTTGAATTTTCGTTTAATTCACATGTTTATTTCTAATATATTTTTTATCCTATATTTTATTAATCTGTACCATAAACTATAAATATATGTATGTATAACATCATCTGATTGTTTGTAAACTTGGGCTTTTGGTCCGTGTTGTAGATTGTGAATGAGTGAGTGAGTTTAGTTTTACGCCGCACTCAGTAATATTCGAGTCTCAACCAGACAATCTAGTGATCACAAGCATGAGCATCAATCAACGTAATTGTACAGTAAATATTGTTATAGTCCATTTTTAAATTGTAAATAATATTGTTGCAGCCAAAGTTAAATTTCAACTCACTCACTCACTCTATACCACTATTTCAATGTGATATCATTTTTCAATATCAAATATTTTCTGGGTTCTGTTACCCTTCTGCTTAGCTGAGCAACCATGCCAGTCCATGAGCCGTTTACCAATAACCCCCAGGTGAGATCAAACGGTTCGACGACATCATAACTGCGAGTCATAGAAAATATAACAATATAATACCAATCTTCAAGATTAACTGGATGCCTTAAAAAGGTTATCAAATTTCAAATATGTTACTTTTATCAAATACTAATATGAACAAACAGCTTTTTGATTACAAAGAATGAGTGTTCGTTACATGAAAGTGATCATTTTTGTTTACAAAAAATTTCTTTTACATGCAAGTGATCTTTTTCATTGACGATTGTAAACATACTACATGGTAGGAAGAAATAATACCTGAAATTTAGCTTTCTGGAGATTGCTTCCAGTATATCGAAGACATAGCCTGTATATACTGTCGTCCCATTCGTGATAAGCTTCTCGGTGTATATTTTTGACTGAAATAAAACAAAAGGTGAACCTGTAGCAAAAATGTGAATGAAGGTAACTACATGAGTTAAAATTTAAAGTCACTTTGGCAATATTTCAGCCATATCGTGACTAAAACAAGTTCTAGATTAACAATAAGTAAAGATAGATTATAAAGAGAGAGAGAGAGAGAGAGAGAGAGAGAGAGAGAGAGAGAGAGAGAGAGAGAGAGAGAGAGAGAGAGAGAGAGAGAGAGAGAGAGAGAGAGAGAGAGAGAGAGAGAGAGAAGAGAGAGACAGAAATAGGGACATTGAGATAGAGATGGCTCCGTGTGAATAGGACAGGGCAGGCGTTATAGACACTGTGGTGTTGCCACTTAGTGCGCTCCCATTTAAGTCTGTTATGTTCAACACAAAACAACAACACGTGTTCACAGCTCCCGCACTTTACTTGTCTGCCCATTCAGGCTGCTCATGCGCAGATACATTTCCGTTCTCTTTAATAGCCGGAGCATATAACGTAAACCGGACCATACCGGACAATAAGCACAAACACTACAGACACAAACACATTTTACCTCAAGCGTGGAAACCACCAGTCGCCTGTTATTGTATCCATACTGTGTATTTGGGTACACCCTTGTTACGTGAGTCACATTGGTTGTGTTCTTATCAGGAACGGGGATGAATACTTTCCCTTCTGGTGTATTATGCAAAGTGTACAAGTGTGCTCTGTTGGTTGGATTCTTCTGAAATATTCAACGACACATTTCAGCAAATTCATTCTTATGATAAATGTGCGTATGTAATCTGACCAATATGGTGACGCATTCAACTCTGACAATGTTATGGTTAATAACAGTTTTGTTACATTTAAGAATTAATAAAAATATGCTGATAACGCTTTGTAATGGTTCTTTCGAGACTAAACTACTTTATCTAATATCTCCCAAACTGTCGAAGATCAACAACCTCAGCATGCCTTCTTGAGAATGAATGTAAGTAATAGTGGCACCATGTCAATTACAAGTGCACATGCATGTACGTGTGAGGGTACACATTATCTCCAGCATTAAGATTGCAGTGCCTGTTTTGGCTAGTGTTCCTGTATGCGGCACTATGCCGATTCCGTTATGTTGTAACATTTGAAGAACACCAACTTAGCAATGTATTTACTGGCTTTTACTTATGTCGTAAAAATATCATTCACACGTACTGAAAGGACACAGCATTCATCATCTTGTATCATGACAGCAACGTTCTCCAAGTGGTTCACTGTCACTGCTTGTAGAATCGACTTAGTGTTCGCCAGGATTACGATTCTTGAATTGTGTCTAAAATCCGTTGTGCGATTGGAATTGAAATCGAACTTGTCCAGCTGAAGCAAGTAAAACATGCTAACTTGTTTAACTCAAGTAAATAAAAATGCATTGATATCACAATAAAGAAATTATACTGAACATAACGGTAAGAGATAATGAATATTTTGTGCTATTTTTTAGTTCGAGCAGACAGTGTAAGAAAATGATCCCTCAAAGTATTCATGGTAACATGGTCAGTTGACATTCAAATAATATATGTCACGGAACTACAGAACTGAAGCCATTTAAAAGTCAAACCTATCGATAAATATGTAATTGTACCCATGTGGGAAATTGAACCCGCGTATTCGGCGTGAAGAGCGAATACTTTAACCACTAGGTTACCCCATCGCTCCTCTTGTAATTGCAAAGAACACACACAAAATATCATCCAGTTTGAACTCACCAGTTCCAATAGCCACGCCGTTGATGTGATATTCAGTGCAATGATCACATTAATCTCCGGAAAGAGCAGAGAGTGAATATCTCTTAAAACATGTCTGTCCAGATACTCCAAAAAGTATATTTGTAGCTTCGTGCGTTCAGAGAAAAGTATTCCTTGAACATAAAAAACACTGATCATTTTAAAAAGACTTGGAATATCTCAAACCAAACATTAAGCACACAATTGTTAAGGTTCATTTCAAAATTATCTGAATATTTTGTCTGATTTCTTTTTCATTTACTTCGTCAAGCAGACATCCTTGGTTAGAACTGAAGTATAATAGTGAGTGAGCGAGTTAAAATTTTACATGGCATCTGCAATATTACAGCCATATAGCGATGAAAACAAGGTATTCAATTTAAATAGCTGTCGACAAAGGACAGTAAAACCAATTAGACTATCACAGATATATACTTAAAACTACTAATTAAATCTAAAACACTTTAACTATAGAGGAAGATACAATATAAAAACACTGAAGTACATTAACATCACTGAAACGTATGTATGTATGTATGTATGTGTGTATGTGTGTGTGTGTGTGTGTGTGTGTGTGTGTGTGTGTGTGTGTGTATGTATGTAGATGTTGCTTTCTTGGCAGACTATGATATATCCTTTGAACAATTTACCTTCATTTTGGTCTTGAATAAGAGCTATTGAGGTCCAATTTAAAACGTTCAGTAAGTTGTTGACATCATTAGAAAACGAAGTGACATTTAACCGCCCTTCTGCAACAGAAAAAGGTCATTCTAAAACTGCAATGAGTTAATATGAGTTTAAAATATATGTATTCCTTAAATAAAAAAGAACAAAAAAACCCAAGAAAAACTAACAACAATAACAACAAAAACATGCCAAATTGCACGTCCACAACGCACAACATACATACATCAACATGAAAATTATTAACATAATCAGACGATTAAACATGTCCACTATAAAATTTCAGTCTTTAAAGTAAACGAAGAAGACGAGACGTGTAGAAATCCATGTATGATATTTCCATTAAATCTATCTGTCCATTTAGTTTATTTTAGTTTGCGTTTGGTTGAAGTTGGAAACCACAAGCACGACATGCTAAAATTATAACGAATCGATACCACTTACCTTCAGAATTTTTGCATTGATATTGTTTACACAACATAAGACCTAAAAACGAAATATGTATCCAAAACCTGAGGAAGGACGACATTTGGTTCATGGATACTCGTACTGACGCTGGGACGATTAATGCATACAATATAACCACGGCAGCCTCATTGGTCGGAACAGCTTGCTAATGACTACAGGTTTGTATGAATAGGCTTTGAATGTAATTCATTTGGATGGTATAACTAAAGACTCATGTCATAATTCTACACAAAGACATAATGTCAACATGATAACGGGTAGAGCTGAGATCGAGGAGAATGGACCAGTATTTACGATGTCTGAAAGACTTATATAATCAATGAATACCTATGCAAATATAATTCAAAAGGAGATATTTATAACGTTAAAATAGATCTGATGAATGTGGAATGCATCTGTGTCATGTGACTGCGAATTGATCCATCGTGGACACAGACAATTTCACTTAATCCGCACCATATGTTTGTGTCAAGTTACCTTCGAATTGAATTCAGAACATCAATGACATGTCAGCTTCATATTGACATAATTTAGCTCTCATGAACCATCCATTGTGTTACTGCAAAGTATTTCCACATCCCCGTGGCATCTTACTTTCGCCCATCAAGTATTCACAAGGATAACTATGTATTGACTGCACGAGGACAAGCCATGGATGCATACTTTCACCCGTCAGGTATTCACCTGGATACGTATCCACTAACTTCACGAGGGCAAGCGATCGGTACATACAGTATCATTACTTTCATTCAATCAGCAATTCACATGGATAAGTATGTTCTGACTGCACGAGGGCAGGCCATCGGTGTATACAGAATTATAACTTTCACCCGTCAAGTATTCACATGGATAAGTATGTTCTGACTGCACGAGGGCCAGACATTGGTACATACAGTATCCTTACATTCAACCATCAACCATTCACATGGATAAGTATGTTCTGACTGCACGAAGGCCAGACATTGGTACATACAGTATCCTTACATTTAACCATCAACCATTCACATGGATAAGTATGTTCTGACTGCACGAGGGCCAGACATTGGTACATACAGTATCCTTACATGCAACCATCAACTATTCACATTGATAAGTATGTTCTGACTGCACGAGGGCCAGACATTGGTACATACAGTATCCTTACATGCAACCATCAACTATTCACATGGATAAGTATGTTCTGACTGCACGAGGGCCAGACATTGGTACATACAGTATCCTTACATGCAACCATCAACTATTCACATGGATAAGTATGTTCTGACTGCACGAGGGCCAGACATTGGTACATACAGTATCCTTACATGCAACCATCAACTATTCACATGGATAAGTATGTTCTGACTGCACGAGGGCCAGACATTGGTACATACAGTATCCTTACATTTAACCATCAACCATTCACATGGATACGTGGATATGCCTGCAACAGGTGGCCATTTTTAAGAGCTGATTCATGATCCCGTCACTCGCATTTAGTAACTGAACCGTTATTACTGAAATGCCAACACGAAGTTGAAATATTTTGTAAAACACCGTTGTATCAAGATATTTTTATGGATTAAACTTCTTTTTAATTTCTCTCACAACGTTTCGAGACCATTCCAGGTCCCTTCATCAGGTGAACTGAATGCCACTGAAAGACACCGTTGTATCAGACTTAAATATGTCCAACAGACAGTTTCTCGAAGTAACCTTTTAGTCCCTTCTTATTCATTATTTAGTCATTATCTTGAAGTTCTTACCCCTTCATCTTCGACACAACGGGGCCCATAAAGGTCCGGGTTAGAATTCATCACATTCCATATGAACCATGCCCCAAAAAATCAACTTCATGCTGAATTTCAAAGTTATTGTCTAGGGCATCAAACGAAATCAGATTTAAACACATTTGTAGACACCTTTGGATAACTTGATCTTACTAGAGAAAATGTGTTTGGTTGATGAGTTTGCACAGCGTGGATACAGCGGGTTAGAATGGGTGCACAGCAAGTAGTTAAACTCGTCAAAAAGAGGATCGGATGTCGAATTTGTTGTAGGGTCGCTGTATAAAGCTTCAATCATC